GGCTCCGGGGTCCTGGCCTCCCTCACACCGCTGACAGCTGGGGGCCTGATGCGGAGTAGACAGCAGCACCTGGAAAAGATGCCCAGGCAGACTCTCACCTTCTTTGGTAGCATTCGACCCTTCGCCACAGACCTCCCCCACCATTCTAGTGTGGCCTGGGGGACAATGAGAGTTACCCACAGCTGAGGTAATGTCTCTGCATTCACTCCTCGGGCAAAAAGTGTCTGCAGGCTCAGAGGTCCGGCTGGAGGTGTTGGAGGAACCACACAGCAGAGGCCTCTCTGTGGGCCCCTCGTAAAGGGTTTGGATTGTATTTAAACGCACCTGGGATGATCTGTGGAATCTAACGGGTGAACATGTAACTGGGATACATAAAAATTCATTGTTGGATCCAAAATATCAATTGCACAAGGACAGGGCAGGGGCCCTTGGCTTCGTTTTATACCCTCGTGCTTCTAGTTTCTAGCCCTGTCATCTCTGCAGTAGATGCAATACGTCCTCCAGAAATTCCGCAAGTAGAAATAACAGCAAATTCATGGTGACCAGAGCAGGAGAGGGGCTGCCTGCACGGACTCGCATTCCTGCCTTTGGGATTTACTGCCCAGGGAACTCTACCTTCCTTCTCTTAGTCAGCTGGGGCTGCCCTAACAGATGCCACAGATTGGGTGGCTTAAACGACAGACATTTCTCTTGCACAGTTCTGAGGCTGGAAGTCTGAGAGCCAGGTGCCAGCCTGGCCGGGTTCTGGCCTGCAGGTGCCACCTTCTCAGGTATCTCTTCGTATGAGGGCATCCCTCCCACCATGAGGGTCTCATTGTCACAACCTCATCTAACCTTCGGGCCCCGCCTCCAAATACCATCACATGGGGATTAGGGCATCATTATATGAATGGGGGAGAGGGGGAGTGTGGACAGCAACATTCAGTTCTGCCCTCTGGTATTTAGAATTCCACCACTGGATGCATGGCCATTTGATTAAATGCTATTGCCTTCCTATAGCCCTAAAGTGCTTGGAAGGGAACATTAATGTTTTGGTTTGTTTTTTTTTAAATTGAATTCAGAGAGGAAGGGAGAGGGAGAGGGAGAGGGAGAGATAGAAACATCAATGATGAGAGAGAATTTTGATCTGCTGCCTCTTGCACGCCCCACACTGGGGATTGAGCCTGCAACCCGGGCATGTGCCCTTGACCGGAATTGAACCTGGAACCCTTCAGTCCATAGGCCAACGCTCTATCCACTGAGCCAAACCGGCTAGGGCAGGAACATTAATTTTTTAGTGCCTTAAGTTACCATCACTTCCCCCCAAGATAGGAATGATGGGAGGTAGTGATTCTGAAATGGAGGCCTTGCGATGAGGAAAAATGCCACCTGCCTCACACTTTCATCCAGGGCCCAGATGCACCCTGCCGGCGGGCTGTGCATTTCACAGCTGTGGCGAAACGGAAATGAAGTTGAGAGATGTAGTGAAGAGCAGGGCTTCCAATAGTCTCCTAGAGGAAGTTCCAGAAATGACCACCAAGTGGCAGCAAGTGAACAGTCGTTCCTAAAACCCTGCAGAATCTTCCGGGAGTCTACCTAATGTCAGCCTGGCTAAGTCCTAGGAACAGTGTGAGGCCCCCAGGTCCCCTCCACCAACCTGTGTCTCCACAGAAGAGCATGGTCGGTCCTTCATGGTTTGTAGCAGGCTCTGCCATGGCCCCTTTGGGAGTGTGTATAGGTATGAATCCCTGTACTTATTGCATACTTCAGCCTCCCCTCAGCGTTATGACGGAGAGGTGCTAGAGCAGGGGTCCTGACCCAGGCTTCCTGGGGAGAATATTCCAGGCAGAGGGAACCCCTGGGGCTCGGGCTTGTCTGAGGGGTAGAGGTGGCTGGGATGAAGGGAGCGATGGGGCAGGGGGTTTGGGCTAAGACCAAGGGCAGGGAGCAGCAGATCCCATAGGGCAGGAATGCGTGCTTTCCCCTGGGAGCGCCTCCTTTGAGGAATTTTACACAGAAGGGACAGGAGGGTAGAGGGCGGTCATGGCCCCTTTCTCTGGGGTCACTCGGTGAAAGGCCATTCTGTGTCCAGGTCATGTAAGGTGTGCAGGCCTGGCAAGGTCTCCCCACTGTGACTGCCCACTGGTGGAAATAAAGAACGTTGATTGCAATCACCGCACAATGGTCTATTTATCCCTGAAGTTTCCTGCCCTGACTTCATTTCTAGGTGAGTGAACTCTTTCTGTGAGTAAAATACAACCTCCTGGCTGGGTTCCCCGGAGCAGATGTCAGGGCAAGAAGCGCTTATCGTGGCTCAGGAGGTGGAGACTCTTTGCTTCAGGAAGGGCAGGCTCCGTGCCAGGGATGTGGGGGGCAGAGGCGCTGAGGCCGACTCAGGCATGGGTGCGTGCGGGCCAGTGAGCACAAAACCAGCAAGGCGGAAAGACCCAGGAAAGGAGACAGAACAGGCCGAAGGCGAAGTCTCCTTCCTGAGAAATCTTAGATCTCTGATCCTTCTGTAACCTTAGGTCTAATCTAATACTGCCTCCCCCGACAGAGCGGAGGACTGTGTTAGGGGCCATCTGTGCCCCGAGCCCTGCAGAGGGATGCTGATTGTTAAAGGTGCAAGCTTGGTCCCTACTTCATCAGTAGGAAAGAGACTTAATCTCATTTGTTTAATATGGAATCTTTGTAGGTAAAGCCCTTCAAGAAAGCCAAAGATAGAGACTGAAAAATGTGCAGTCTGTGTAGCAATATGGGGCATGGGTACCACTAGAGGGAGCCATTTGAGGGTGTGGTGGGAGCCGACAGGTTGACCCTCTTGCCTCCAGGTCATCAGGGTGAGCCTCGTGTAGCAATATGGGGCATGGGTACCATTAAAGGAGCCATTTGAGGGTGTGGTGGGAGCCGACTGGTTGACCCTCTTGCCTCCAGGTCATCAGGGTGAGCCTTGGCCTTTAAGGTGGCTGTGGAGCTGGAAGGCAGGAGCCCTCACAGGTCTGGGGTTCTCTCCTCAAAAGTGCTCTTGTAATCACTTTGTCCCCTTTGGACATGATCTCCTCAGGAGAGTAGATCAGAGTGTGTGCGGTGGCCTGTGACCCGTGGTGCATTTTCCTGGACAAGGTCACCCGGTTACTTTTGCAAGATTACCCGTTGCATATTCAGTAGAAGCAGCCTTCATCCCTCTACTGCAGCCTTCATCCCTGATAAATTGCTTTCTACATCCTGGTTGCTCTCCAATGCCTCTGAGTTGACAGGGCCATGGGGAGGGGAGGAAGCTAGTCCCCGCTGCAGGTCAGGCAGGTGGAAGCGCCTGATTTGTCCTGAATCTGGCGGGGGGGCGAGGGGAGTAGTCAAACCTGCTCTCAGTGCCCAGTGGAGTATCTCCTTCTGGTCACAGGTCTTGCCCCGGTACTGGCTCAGGGATGGGCCCCAGCTCCACCCCTCACCGCCAGCAGGCTCTGGGGTGGGGTGATTGGGGTGCACCTTTCTCCCAAGCCTGAAAACCCCACCTCTCTCTTCTGTGGCTGTGGTTCTAAGGCTGTGGCTCTGCCCCAAATCCATGTAAGTCTTCGTTTTACTTTGCAAAGAATTTCAGTCACAAGCAGCATTAAAAGGAGAGCGGCCTCCTCCATGTGGCAACACTATTGACGGTTCCGTATTGCACCTGCAAGGGCCCAGCGCCAGCTCGAAACATCTCCGCGTCTGGCTCCTCCGCAGGCCTGTTTGTGCCACCCCCGCCCCACGGGAGCCTCTGAAGGGCCATCCTTGCAGAAGTGATGAAGGCGACCACAACCCTAACCAACCCTTCCCGAGTGTGTGGTATGTGCCAGGCTCCGTCTTGGGAATTTTCTGTGCTTCTCATTTAATCCTCTCGTCAGTCCTAGGTTCCTTTACTATTCTCCGTTACTGATGAGAAAACCGAGACATGCCCAAGGCTGCAGCACCAGCCGGTGGCCCCGATTACGGACTGTAGACTGGATCGGAGAAGCCTCCGTGGTTTATTTCTAAGAACCTTTTCCCGATATAATAATTTGTTAGTTGAATGATGAACTTAGAAGATAATGTAGAGAGACGCTACTAATAGTATTTTAACAAAAACCTAAAAATCCAGCCGCCGCCTGTCTAACATCACCCACCTGAGCTGTTAAAGGAACCGAGGTGCCTTTTTAAGTGTGGCAGGCAGCTGTGCACACCGGGTCCAGGTCCTCCAATGATGATGGTCTCCCCTCCAACTTCCTGAGGAGGCAGGCAGCGCCTCGCTGGGTCTCAGCCAGGGGCCACGTTGAGTCCCCCCCCACCCCCCCCAGAACTGTCCCTGTCCGTTCCTTCATTACAAGGGTTGAAACTGGTCCTCACATGTATGTCCTGCCAGAGCTCTGGGAGGTCTGAAGTTGCATTGAAAGGATGTGCCACAATCTGTTCTTTAGCTGCTGACCCAGAGTCTCAGCTGCTCATACACAGGAGCAAATGCATGGGCGTGCAGTAGCTGTTACATCTACTTTAGCATATTGCAGCTGTTGAGTCGATTCCAGGAGGCAACTGAAATGTTGGAACCTCTGATGCCTAAAAGGTTTAAGGCAACTTTCCTGAGTGTTACATACGTCAAACATGTGATTATAGTTACTATAATGAGTAGAGACAGGGTAAAATATTTCTGGTGAAGGCATGCCAGCTCAGCAGCCTGAAGGTTGTAAACACTACCACCGGGTGCTAAAGTAATAAGAAATATTGCACTTTACATGAAACCATCAAGTTAAACATTTTGGAGGCAACAAGTAATGATAAGCAGGTTCCTAAGACTGTTCTAACAAGAACAGTCTATTTATATATTGTGTCTATTTATAGATTTACAAAAGTTTATCAGTGTGTCAGTCCATTAGTAATCTTGGCATTATTTTCACGAACCTTTATCCCTATTTTTTAAAGGAAAACTAAGTGTAATGTTAGTTATATTTCCCTTTGGACCAATAATATTTGTTTAAAATTAAGAACTCAAACAAACAAAACAAAACACATCCTAGTGATAAGGACCGTTTATTTCAGCTTACTTCTCCTGGAATTCAAACAGGAAAAAGCCGGTCAGAAGAACCTCTCTGGAAATGAAGGTGGAGACTGTGCCCAGGTTTGCTTTCTGTTAGCCGAACCTTGGTGAGCCTCCGAGAAGAGAGTCAGCAGGTCACGTCGGAAGGCACCACACTCGCAGTGAATTCATGAGACCTCGTCATGAGTCACCTCAGAGTTTTCGGAGAAATAGAGCTTTCAGAACACAAGTTTGAGGCTGCTTACATGTCACTGATAAACCCTCAAAGCCCAAACCATTTCCCTTGGTAACAGTTCCATTTCATTCTTTGCCTAGGACGCAGCTATAGTAACAAGGTACAAAAAATAATAAGCATGCAGCCCTTTATTAGTTTTGCAAAGTCTCTTCTTATAGTTCTGTATATTACATGACTGTGTTATACAAATACAGTTATTTACAAAAACACTCTAGCTGTGCAAACTTGTTACTTTTTAAAAATGTATGGAGAGTCCCATTTCTGCCCATCCCAATATATATTTGTAAAGCATGCATAAAAATTAACTTTGGTGTGGGAAAACTACTCTATGTGCTGTCACATATAGTGTTTTTATGTCTATTTATATATTTACAAAAGCTTTTCAGTTTACAGAACAGTACAGAAGTGTACACTTTAAAATCCACAATGTACTGTAATAGTGTGGGTTGCCAGGTCTCAGAAAACAAAGGAAGGGGTTAGATACTGCAAAGAAAACAACTAGAGAATCCCATCAATATGTTAAAAAGAAAAAAGAAGAAGAAGAAGAAGAAAGAAATGCAAAGAAAACTAGCTTGCTTGGGCTGGCAAATTATTATACATAATTTTCATGGCAGTGCAATTGGTTTTGATAAATTGCTTTCTACATATGACCCTGGGTTGGCCTGTTGTCTAGACACTACTTTCAAATGTACAATGCTATAGTATCAAAATGTTTTGGCAAAAAAGATCTTGAAAGGAACCATGAAGTTTTGACAAAAATAGAAATCTGTAATAAAGCTAAATAACACTAAAATAAAAGGAAATATTATAGTATCTCTTTTACAATTTGTATAGTCGCACTTGCGTATTTCTCTGTTCACTTCTAGTCTCCGTAATGAAAAATATTTTTATACAAAACATACTAAAATTCTGGAATCATACATGTTTTACATGCTCAATACATTTTTTTCCTGCCTCACACACATACCCTTCTCTCTCACCATACTCTTTCTGTAACACATGCTTACTTCATTGAACAGGTGTTGAATACAGACAGTTAACACTATGTAATTACAATAGCAACAACTAAAAAATAAAAACCAAACCAAACAAGCTTTACTGAAATCTATTAATCCAGTATTTAGCACATACTTAGCATGAAGCCTCAAACAGTACAGCAATATGTTACATTCTCTTGCGAAAACAGTTGTTAAAAGACTGTTACAATTTTTTTTTTCTAAATTTTTAAATGTAACTCCAACTTGTGCCTGATAGGGTGTGGCCTTTAAGAGGTTTCCTTTGCTGTGGATGGGGTGGCTTTGCTGGAACTTCCATTCTGTGCCTTGTAGCTGGTGAGGCTGGGAGTATGGATGGTCCTGATGCTCCTGGCACCTTGGTTCAGTGAAGTGGGGGAGGCGGGGGAGGGG